GTGTGTGTGTGTGTGTGTGTGTGTGTGTGTGTGTGTGTGTGTGTGTGGGAGGAACAAATCTCACCTGATATGCACATGAAAATAAAATCCATACCTGCTGGTGAATGTGTGATCCTGGTATGATCCAAGTGCAGGCGTAGTAGTGTTTGAAGAGTTGATACTGCATACATTTTTTTTTTTTAGAGATACTGTTAGCCAAGCATTTACAAGAAATGTTGAATATATTTTAGAAATATTGAATGAATTCCCCATCAAGATGTTAAAGACGATGGGAATCTGAACTTTCTCATGTTGTCCTCTCCCCCAGCAGAGACAAGGCAGACTGTCAGGTGTCCTCAGAAAAGATCCTGAGCATAAAAGCCTTTTTCTTAGTAGTCAGAAATCCAGACAGAAGTACTGAAGACAATGAAACTGACAGTACATGTGTACAATTCAGGGGAAAAGATATTTGCAGGAACATTTGCAGTCATTGTGCCTTCTGCTCAGTATGTAAACTGTGTAAATTATGAAAAGCAGCTGAGATAATCTTGGCAGTTAACTACTTGGCAATAGCAATTGTGCACAACATAAGACTGTTGAAAAAGCACACGCTGATTACTGGTTTTTCATGGTCTTAAGAATCTGTCAAAAGAATTAATGATAAAGATAATATTGCAATACCATGATGAGACTTTCCTACGCACTTGAACACATCTTTAAAGCCTGTAGTGAAGCATTAACTATTCGTTTAAATCTGTTAATAAATGTGTCAAAACTCATGAAGATGTGTTGTATATGATTACAGCTTACCCAAATTTTACTGTGTTATAAACCATCTATTGATTGTCCCTGATGTTTTAAAGTGAATACACAACACAACATAGTGGATGTAAATTTTCTTCAACATAGAACAAATGTTAAATGAGTCATTTTGTCTCATATTCAGTCTTAAAATGGATTCTGCTTAAGGGTGGGTTGATTACATTGATCTCCTACTAATATAAGGGTCAATATCCTGTGAACCGGCAGCATGACGCACATTAAACACAGCACCAGGGCCAATAGATTCAATACCATTCTTGAAACAAACTGATTAAAGTCAGAGTACAGTATCTCCCTACACTGGTAGACAATTAAATCTTCATTTGTCTTGAGGAAATCAGGCGTTTGGGGATCTGTAATTTAGAAAATCAATTAGTTTTGAGGTACAAAGGATTACTCATGATGTCTTAGTTTCATATCCAAAGCACAAAGCTGTTTGAGGAATCCTCTGTTTGGGAAAATCCATCTGCGCTCTTTGACCTTATTGATGGCCTCTAGCAGGGTGTAATGGTGGTGGATCATTAGGTAGGCCAGGACGAGGGAGGCAGATCTGCTCACGCCGACTGCACAGTGGACAAACACCCGAGCTGGTGAAAAGAAGAAAAAGAAAACAATGAATCTTGACGCATGAGTTGATACTGGGAGTTTCCTCTGGATAAGATGAGTGACTTGCTTCTAGGTAAAACTCAGGGACAAATAAAGCAACACGAGGGGTATTTACCACCAGCCGTGACAAGTGCACTCTGAATATACTCAGCAGAGGGAAAGAAATAGCGAGAGAGGTCAAAGGACGGTGAGTCATCGGCAGGGACTCCATAATAATCCACAGTGGAGCCATAGAAGTCATGACTCCCCTGACAGTGCATCCTCCCATGAGCAACATTCAGAACATGAGTGACTCCCAGCTTCCACAGACTGTAGCGATCATTGGCCACTGACCTGTGGACAAAGGAAACAGGTATCATAACAGGAAACACATTAGAAGGAAGCAATCTTGCGGTACTTTTATTTAACAAGCTGTCAAGAGCAATGCCAAAGACTTACATGTCACCAATGAATATGTTAGGCCAAACTTCATCCACATGATTTCCAAACCTTTTTCCTCCATACAGAACCCTCACCAGGTCTTTCACTGACGGAGTGACAGGGGGACCTGCATTACTTTGCTGCAGAGTGTTCATAGTTGACTGCATGGATCTTTGCTCCTTTGAAACTACCAATTTGTATGATTTATTCTCCCAACATTTATTTTCAAACTCTCTTGAGGCTATACTACATTAATGTTGGTATTGACAAGGACAGGTGTCCCTGGTCTATAATTAAATCAGTGACTTATTATCTAAATGTTGGTCAGCCTCACACCTCTATATCTTTAATGCATACACTTTGTGGTATTTTGAGGCAGTTAATTGCACAAATACTTCATTTATGTATTCATAACAATAACAATACTGCAGAATTAAAGACTTAGCAGTACTCTCTTTTCACCAACAAGTGTCACTGTTGCTCAGCTGGAGCCAATTCTCGTGTAGCTGATTTGTACGTGCGCGGCTACTCTGGACATTACCGCCTGGTGTTGGCAACAGTATGCTAACCAGCGCGAAGCCAGGGAGGCGAAATGATTTCCAACAAACCGCCGCTATTACGATTTACTCAGATTCTCGTGAGATGCCGTTTAGCAAGCTAGCTGAATAAACACGTGTCCGTGTCGTCTTCTGTGACACCTCAGTCCGGGTGAGTGAGCGTTACGGTACACGCATTGATCCAGCTAGCTAATAGCATGCTAGCTAACGTTAGCTAACGTTAGACCTTGAATTAGCCTGCTTGGGGAGGAGTTGAAGTGATAAATGACGATGTGCCTTCGCTTGGTGTCACGTCTACCTCGAGCGTGCTTGTGGTTACACACACCGTCAACCACCAGGTGGACTAGTTACCTCAGCATCACAGGATATTGAGGGAATGTTGGTAGAATTAGCTCCTGGCCCCACCTCATTGATAGCCAGTGATGTGGGATAAGTGCAGGTGGTTGACTGACCGTCTAAAGTGAGTCATAGCTGCTCACCAAACCACACAGCCACAGTATCATCATATCAGTTAGTCCCTCAACAGGTAAAGATGCTAACACACAATGTTTGTTCCTGCTGGGATCAGACTTTAAGAGACAGGGTTTGCTGACACTGACACTGAGACTTAAGCCTAAACGAGGATTCTTCTGATTAGTGTGTAGGATAGATCGGCTAGTAATAAGACTGGGGATAATAGCCTAAGAGTCATGATCCATTTACAGCTATTACAAAAGTCCCAAAGTCACTGTCTACCCTGGGGAATATGTCTGCTCCTTAGTCTACATGTTTGGGGTGTGTGCAAACTGGTCTTATCAAATCCTTGCCTCATATGTTTGCTGAAGTTGTGAATGCTCAGCTTAAACTTGCGTCACTTATAGATTTGTGACAACCTGAAGCTATTTTCTGTCTGCGTGTCAGTGTTGCGTGGTTTCTTTGGTATTAATATTGCTGATTCAGTGGAAATAAAGAGTGCCAAGTAGAGCATACATCTCCTTAAGATTCCTGGAGGAAGTCAATGAGACACTGACTCTAAGGGAGAGCTCACGTGTTTTTCTTGACTGTGCTTTTCGTTTCTCCAGCCTTCAGAGTGAGGAGGAAATGAGCCAACTGAGTGTCCGTCGCTGGACGCCCAAACACGTCGCCAAGTGGCTGAGGGAGGAGGGCTTCTGCGACTATGTGGACCTGCTGTGCAACAAGCACCGACTGGACGGCACCAGTCTGCTCGCCCTCAGCGAGTACGACCTCCGCTCGCCGCCTCTGGAGCTCAAGGTGCTGGGGGACATCAAGCGGCTGATGGTGTCCATCCGCAAGCTGCAGAAACAGAACATGGACGTGCTGGAGGAGCTGGGGCTTCCCTTCGACGGCCAGTCTCCTACGGGCTCCGGAGGCAGTTTGGACTGGCTGTGTAACGGAGATTCGGGCCGGGACTGTGACAGCACTGACACGGCACCGGTAGGCGAGGAGTATCACCAGTACACCAATGGGAAGTACAAGCAGCAGACGAGGCGCCTGGATCCAGAGTACTGGAAGACGATGCTTAGCTCCATCTATGTGGTCTTTGTGTTTGGGTTCACGTCCTTCGTCATGGTCATAGTGCACGAGAGGGTGCCCGACATGCGCACGTATCCTCCACTGCCAGATATTTTCCTAGACAGGTGGGTGTGTGACAACTAAGACGCTCTTGGAGCCTTATTTTTCTTATTAACTGGTCCACCAGATAGCCATAAAAACATGCATCTGTCAACTGAAATGCCAAAGAGAGAGTGAACAAATACATAAATATCTATTAACTGTCAGAATATCATACCAGATGGTGGATATTATAACCGCCCTACTTCCTTGTAACATGTTTCTATTATTACCCTCACATATTCCAGATGGGCTAGAAGAGTTTTTTTAAGTGACCTACTGGGGTGGGTGACTGTGGATAGCAGGGCCGTCTTTCAATCAGAGGGTCGGCGGTTCAATCCCCAGCTCCGGCTCTGCTAGTCACATGTCAATGTGTCCTTGAGCAAGACACTTAACCCCAAAATTGCTCCCGTAGTTGTACCTACGTTGTAGAAATCTGATAGACTCTGAATTGTAAGTCGCTTTGGATAAAAGTGTCTGCTAAATGACTGTAATGTACTTTGTAGTGTGACCTTTTTGTTTATGACCATATTTGAGCTTTTCAATCAATGTCTTTTCATGTTTCTTTTTTGGGAGAGCTGATTTCAGTGACATGTGTTTGGCACGTAGAAGCATGTTACAGTCGATGTAGTGATTTTTACAGTTCACATTTTGCAATTTATAGTCGGTAATGAAACTTTAAACATAGACATTTGAACCTGTGTCAACTAACAGTCCAATTCACGTTTTGTCTGCTTTCAACAGTGTTCCCAGAATACCATGGGCCTTTGCCATGGCTGAAGCATGTGGAGTCATCCTCTGTAATATCTGGGTGTTGGTTCTGCTGCTCCACAAACACAGGTAGGAGTCCTGACAGTGTTGGTCGTGCACACAGTGGCAGCTGCAGCACACAGTACAGCCACACACACACACACACACATCATGCCGTCAGTGTGGACGTCTTCTGTGTGAGCGAAGACGACATGAAGCTCGTAAAAGTGGGATATACTGCAATTCATTTTCAGTTGGATTTTATTTTTTCCAGTAACCTGGAGCACTTTTATTTTGAAATTTGTTTGAGTGAGAGAATGTCCTGTAACTTGGTGTTCATTTTGGAGAAAATGTAAATGATTTAACAGTCAGTGTTTTATTATGAAATGCAAGTTACACAAATCTTTGTGTATCCTGTTAATTATAGTTCTTAGAAAGATGGAAATATCGGAATCAGCATGTCCGACTCGATGCCTTGGAAGTTAACCGTTTGTCACGACTTGTAGGTCCATCCTTTTGCGGCGCATGTGCAGCCTCATGGGGACGGTGTTCATGCTGCGCTGTATCACCATGTTCGTCACCTCCCTGTCTGTGCCGGGACAGCACCTGCAATGCTCAGGAAAGGTAATGAGTCTTCCATGTATCCTAAACACGGCTTCTCTTCCTCTTTGAAAGATCACAACACTGAGAGTTTCCCTTCTTCTTCTTCTTCTTCTCCTCTTCCTCTAGATGTACGGGGACATGTGGGCCAAACTGCAGCGCGCTGTGGCCATCTGGAGCGGTTTCGGGATGACTCTGACCGGAGTGCACACGTGTGGTGACTACATGTTCAGCGGCCACACCGTGGTCATTACCTTGCTCAACTTCTTTGTCACAGAGTGTGAGTAGCTTTTAAGTTCCCTTTGAAATGTCCCCATAGTTAATAGATTTTGTCCACATTCATTCATGAAGATCCTGATAAATGACGAGCCGTTATTAAGAGCTGTGACATCAGATGGTTAAAGTCTTAAATCACGAGGATGACACATGCAGAGGAAGAAACACTGTCCACATATTTGGGACCGTTGTCTCTTTGCTGCCATCCAGAGTCCTTCACTGGTATAAACAAATTGCCTTCCTCAGTGTGACCTTGGACAGAAATGGTCTGAATCTCAGGATATGATGTAAAACTCACAACAAACAACAAAAAAGCTAATTTGTTAAATGTATCTTCAATGGTTCTTTTTTCAGACACCCCACGAAGCTGGAACTTCATTCACACGTTGTCCTGGGTGTTGAATCTCTTCGGCATCTTCTTCATCCTGGCCGCACACGAACACTACTCCATCGACGTGTTCATCGCGTTCTACATCACCACCAGACTCTTCCTGTACTACCACACGCTAGCCAACACCCGGGCCTACCAGCAGAGTCGACGAGCTCGCATCTGGTTCCCCATGTTCTCCTTCTTCGAGTGCAACGTCAACGTTCCTGTCCCCAACGAGTACTGCTGGCCCTTCTCCAGACCGGCCGTGATCAGGAGGCTCATTGGATGATGAACAGCAGCGGCGCTGTCGGACACTTCTCAGCCATGTGCTGCTCTTAGTCTGCTGTGTCAAGTTGCCAACTGAGGCGGTGTGTGATGTCTTCATCGACCAAGACTACTGTTGTGATCCTGTTAGCGCTGAGGCCTGATGGGATACACAGAGCCCATACCTTCTTATATTCTGGGATTTATCTTCAAACCTGCTTCTAGACGGATTCAACAAAATCACTAAAACCATACAGGGTTTCTTAAAGGGTCTCGTTTATTCGTTGCTCATTCCTCCTCCTAAAGGGATATAACTTCATGTAGCATAAACTTGTTTTCAGTACCTCCTATCCATACGACTTTAAGTTTGAGTATTTGGACATGATAACAGGAAACCACATCAAAACAATTCTCAGGCAGCAGGTTCCCTAATCCTTCACAGCAGTTTGTCGTTTTCTGTGCAATTTAAAATACCCGATCATTTCAAGGTTTGGATCCGGATTCCTTCACTGAATGTTTTCTTTTTGTAAACTCTAAAGGACCACTGTATTTCCAAACATAAATCTAAAGGACCACTGTTGTCAGACTCTAGATCTACGGACCACCGTTAAAGCAATATGTAAAGATCTACATTTCGCTGTTTGCTGTATTGCAAAATGAAACAGATGCTACTTCTCTGCCGTCGTTTGAAAGTCTTCTTCATTCCTTGAAATAATGTTCCTTGATGTTGACGGAGCAATTCATTGCTCAGTGCTGGACATACTAAAGGATGATAATGTCGTTATCAGCCAAAACATATAAGCAAAGATTGATTTCCACTTGTCTTAAGTATATTTCCAATTGCCAATTACCGTGAGTGTTATGATAGGTTTCTCCGTGTAGAAATGTCCCAAATATTTCATGTTGACTGTTTGATTGCTGTATAGTGTTTTTTTTTTAATCACCATACAGTGTAAATGATAATAATCTTTTGACATTAACTTGTAGTAATAGTTCTTGAAAAGGATCCTTAAATTTGTATGTATTTGTTTATATTAATTTATTTCATTTTGTAACAGTTGATAGGTATTTTTATATTTCATATACAGTGTTACAGCAACATGCACATGAAGAGATATGTTTACAGTTGCTCCTGACATGTATTTATTTGAAACACAATGTGCTTTTTAAGTGTAATGTTGATTTCAGAGTGGCCTCTACATTTCATTGTTGCAGCGCGTTAGAAACATGGTTATTCTAGTTCTCTCATTGAGGAATGATGGTCACGCAAAGCCGCATTACTCGTCTCGTGTCTCATTCATTTCAATCATTAAAGAGCTGAAATCAAAGACTTCTTATATGTTCTTTTTGTACATTAGATGTTCATTATATAAGGACAAACACTGAGCAACAAAGACTTATTTATCTTTTACAAACACTGAGATGGACTAAGATTTAGTCTTTTAATGACGTTATTTATAGGATAGGCCTCCATAATTAAAGAACGCTACATAAGATCTGTGGAATGACACCAAGGCTTACTTTGGGTTAGTTTGACAGTAACTGACTGATTAATATTATCATTATGAACCGTTATTAACTATAATCAAACAAACCACAACTTTAAATGCTTCCTGTGACTATGTACATAGTGAAAAGCATTTTTATAATGCTTTTATGTAAAGTCTAGCCAATTATTATTCACCTGGATTGGGGAATTATTAGATTTTAATTATTGGAATGTATGTTTATTATGTGTAGTCCCTGTTAAATAAACTTAATGAATAAATAAATTATTATATTATATAAATTATAGTACTGTATTATATAGCTGTGTGTGTGTAATTTATTAATTTGTTTAAATTCAATATTGGATCTATTTTTTATATTTTCCTTGCATTGGTAAGGTAAGTAATGAGGTAATATCATAGAGTAATAAAAGGTCATTATCGACTGGATCGAAAATTAGCATATTGGTTTCCGTGGTAATATAGGTGTCTTCCACCTGCCTGTGTGCTAGCGGCTCACATTTGGCATGAAAAATGGCGACTCTTACAAATGACAAGAACTACATCTGCTGTTGTCAAACCACAGAACAAATACTTAATGAAGTGATCGAAAATAACCAAAATCCTCATCTCGTTCGTATTTCAGTCAGGCGCAAGAAAAACCTACTAAATCGTGGGTCCTTCAGGCGCCGAGGTCAGGAGGGTGTTTGTTGGTTGCGGTATCTCCTCCATATCGTCCTACACCGGGTCCCGTCGATATTTCAACCGCTTTTTGCCCGCTCTCACAAGTTGACAGCTACATAATCGACAACAGTAATACTCGGTAAGTAACAGGCCGTATTTATTACTTATCCTGGTCAACGTGTGTTTTGTTTAAATGTCGAATATGGTTATCAAACGTCCCGTTTGCTAGCAAGGGACGGTTTCCCCTACCACCCTCGTGTGTTCAAACTCCTTTAAAATACTTTAGCAGTGACCCTGTAATAGGTCGTATAGTTTGCCTTTTAGATAATACAAAAGTAGGAACATGCAATCCTCAAGTGTGTATGTATTTAAGTCACAGCAATGCATGTTAAATTCTACACACGGCTGCTTTAATAATCCTATTGCCGAAAGAGAGACATATTAAATTATGCTGTCACACCTTCAGTCCTCTCTTTATATTAACATACTTGTGTTTCTGGTTACTGTAAGAGGACACTCCTCGTTGTCTAACCTTGACAAAGAGGCGACGTTACAACAGTATGGAGACCTAATGAGTCTGAGTTAATTAAATTTTATATATATATATATATATATATATAAATAAATATATATAAATATATATATATATATATATATATATATA